GTCTGACATAGCATTCACATTTATTTTCTGTAAGTTTATTTTTATATACCATTATATTATGAAAAACTTCTGTGGAAGAATAACCCATAAGTGCCTTTGGGTAATCTTTTTCCTTGCCTTTTATAGCACCATGAAAATCATCTCCTTAAACTGTTGCCTTCCAGGTAGATAGGAAATATTGCTGTGCATATCTGACTTGGCTCATAAAATGTCGTGTCCAGAAGGCAGGCAATGATATTTTATTCTGTAAATAATTCTTCATGTAATTAAACTCAGTTTACTTTCAAAAGTTTCAATATCTGAGTTCTAAATTTTGCCATAACTCACAAAGTGAAATTTAATTGCGAGAGTTTTCAATAAGAAAATCTATATTCTAGGAAAATGAAATATATTGCGGATATCTCTCATTTAATCTACTTTTTAACATGCCACATTTTAGACTTAAAAGTATTTTAGAGGCACCACCTTTAGTAATATGAAGGATGGGAGGGAATTAGATCATTTTCAGCTGATGCCAAGTAATGTCAGAACTAGAACTTGTGAGTCACAGCTCCTAATCATTGAAACTCCAGCATTAAGGGGAAATGGGACAAACTTCTAGAATCTCCCAATATGGAGTCTTGTGAAGGATCTTCTTCATAGCTACTGTTCCCTGGATCAACCAGGGAACTAGTACCTCATTACCAAAAATTTTCAATGGTGCCTAGAGAACTTATTTAAAATGGAAATATTATAGTTTAAAAATGGGAGCTAGAGCTGGGCTTGTGGCTCAGTGATAGAGCACTTGCCTAGTATGCCTAGTATATATGAGGTTCTGGGTTCGATTCTCAGCACCACATAGAAATAAATCAAAGTTGTTGATGGCAACAACTAAAAAGATATTTTTTAAAAATAGGAGCTAATGGCAAGATAGAATTAACTTTGTAAGCTTTTTATAATGAACTTTATTAGAGAAAATTTGTAAGCTTTTTAAATGAACTTTATTAGAGAAAATTTATTCCCCCCCCCTTTGAAAAATAATGGTAAATAGAATAACTTTAACATTCATAGGTGATTAAAAAAACAAAACCATGGATATTTCATTGTCTTAAATATAATCTGTTTATAAAAATATTTTTCTTTGAACTTCCTGAAAATACTTAAATTTCTCAGAGAAGAAATCACTGTTTTTTTTAAATTGACATTTTAGAGGGTATTGGATGGATGCAAACATAATTTCATGTTTTGTTTCCTTACCTTTTGTAGTTATCATTTTCTTTCTCTCTCTCTTTGCATAAAAGCAGATATTAACTTTTGGCCTTTGTAAATGCTACTAAAGTTTTGGCAGATGCTGTATCTACTGTTCTTATTATATGTTGGGGTGGCTTAGACACCCAGAGTATTACATTTCAAGTGGAGGATCCGTCTCATGATAGATTTTTTTTTTTTGGCTTGAACAAATTAAAATGGAACCAGCAGTATTCCAGGCTGGTGGCATTGCATCTGCAGTCCCAGCTATGCAGAAGACTGAGGCAGGAGGATCACTTGTGTTCAGGATTCAACATAGGGAGATCATATCTTGAAACAAACAAACCCAAACTGGCCATATGATAACCAATCAGTTTTGTAATTTCCAGTAACACCACTGAACATATTTTTATAATATTTCCTTTAAATGATCTAAGAGCTTTGCAATGTTGCCATCCTTGTTTAACTTCACCTATAGAAAGTAATGGAAGACTTTCAAAGCAAATTTTGGGCTATTTTGATCAAATACACCTCGGTTTTTTAGATAAATTCACTTTTATTTTATTATTGAAGTAGAAGTTATGCCAAGAATTTGGAGGGGCTTAGTGTATATAGGAGGGAATATGATACAGTAATCATGTCTTATTTTATAATTTTGGAGTAGCTCTTATGCATACCTCATGTTGAGACTTGAATGTAACCTATAAATAATTCTCTAGACAGGGTTATAATTTATCTTTTAATTCTTTGTCTCACTAAGAAATTAAACACTGGATATCCAGAGCTGTTTGACTAAACCAAGACTATATATATTCTTCCCATTCAGTATAATCATATTTGTTAATTTA